GCCTGGCATGGAGAAAGATGTGAACGAGAAGGTGGAGACTTGCGGTCGTTGCATAAGAAGGAAATCTCCAGTCAAGTCTACCGCAGCTTTAGTACCCATACAGACGACTAGACCAATGGAGTTGTTATGTATCGACTTCCTTAGTTTGGAACGGTCGTCAGATGGTTGCGAAAATATTCTAGTGATAACCGATCACTTTACCAGGTATGCCCAAGCTGTGCCTTGTAAGAACCAAAAGGCGTACGCTACAGCAAAAGCTCTTTACGAGAAGTTTATAGTGTACTACAGCTTTCCAGAAAGGCTACATAGTGATCAGGGCCGCAACTTTGAGAGTAAAGTCATTAAGCAACTCTGCAAGTTGGCCGGGGTTAAAAAAACTAGAACCACTCCATACCATCCAATGGAGAACGGATCAGCGGAAAGGTTCAATGAAACCCTCATCAGTATGCTAGCAACGCTAGATGAGCCCAAGAAAAAGGACTGGAAATCTTATGTAGCACCAATGGTCCAGGCCTATAATGCAACCAGGAGTGATGCCACAGGGTTTTCGCCCCACTTCCTCATGTTTGGGTGGCACCCCCGGTTGTCGGTGGACGCATTCCTGGGGACTGACCCTGGTCAGCAGAGTACAGTGGATCCCTCTTCCTATGTTAGCAAACTTCAGACTAGGATGGAGGGGGCGTATAAGGCGGCTCAGGATGAGGCTAAAAAGAGGTCCGAACAAAATAAGAACCGGTATGACCGGAAGGTTCGTGACTCGAAGCTTGAGGTTGGAGACCGAGTCCTTGTAAGAAAGGTAGGCCTCCAGGGTAGAAACAAGCTGGCTGATAGGTGGGAACGGGAACCCCGTGTGGTGATTAACATCCCCAACAGCGATATTCCTGTATACGAGGTTGCACATGAGGGTGCAAGGGGACGAAGTCGTACCCTGCATAGGAACATGTTGCTTCCTTTCAACTCCATTCCAGTGGAGGTTCCCCCTGTTTCACCTAATCGCAAGGGCGGGCGTAAAAGACAGACAGTTTGTGGAGTACAAACAGACTCTGAAACCTCATCTTCATCCTCAGATTCCGACACGGAAATCGAGCTACCTTCCCCTTATTTAAGGCGTTCCACACGACGCAGGCAGAAACAGGCAACCCAGGCACAAAAAACACCCTTAACCCGTTTTGAGCCCATGACCATCATCACGGAGAGTGAATTGGGTCAAAGCGCGGACATAACGGAGTTACTGGGTGACTCAAGTACACCTGAGTCTGAGTCAGGGCTCCATCAGTCAACGCAGGAGCCTGAGTCAATGGCCAGCCTTGATTTGAGCTCACCAAGCTCTAATTGTACAGATACGGGTAGTCCGGAGGTCCAGGTACCCAGACGCACGGGTCGGTTACGTAAACCGCCCGACCTGTATGGGCAATGGGTGTTTCTCCTGCAAAGTCATTCAACAGTCTGATGTAAACCTGTCGAAAAGTTGTACTCACACCGGAAAAGTCATTTTATCAAACATCCATTTTTCATTGCTTTTAATTCCATATCGAGGTGATCCCTTGAGTGTTTTTATTCTAGTGGCTTGTATGTGAATGTAATCCGTGAGGGTCTACTCCCTGATGGAATTGGATCGGCCAAACCTCAGGGACGACCTAAACGGGTTGCTACAGATGTTGTAAATATTGTACGTATAACATATGCTTAGTTTTAATCATATTATAAGTCATTGTATTTTAAGTATATCATCCATGTGCTTAATCCAATGTACTGGGTTGGGGTGGATTGTCCAAACCATTCAGTCCATTGGAAGTACTTGTGGTGGCATTTTGGATAAGTTTATCCGGTTTAATAGGGTAAATATGGTTGAGGACCTCTATCTATATAAGGACCCCCAGTATGTTCAGTTGGGTAGGTGGCAACACGTAAGTAGTTGTTAAGGCTCAGTGGGGTGTCGTAGATTTAGTGGAAAAGCTATCCACTGGTGTGGACAAGGGCACCTGCAAGGGTAAACCAATTTATTGCAAATATGTACCTTTTGTCTAGAGTCTATATATTGGTCATTAGGTTGCCATGTTAACGGGTGTTATTTGATCCGTAATGGTACGTATATCTTATTTGTATAGTCCATACTTTATGCTTCTGGTTGGGTTATTTCTGTTCAGAACCCCTGTAAGATATATGTATAGAGGGTTTCTAGCAGCCATAACGTGTTACCGTTACTAGTGCGGTAAGCCTTGTAAAATCAGCACCCAAGGGGAATTTGTGTAGATTTTATGTAGCGCCAGGAGGCTTTCATCAAACCGGGGGAGTGTGTACCCCCAATGTGTACTGGGTCTACTGCATTAATACCTCATATGTCACGTGTCATGTTGTTTACTTCATGTATGTATACAAGTGCGTGCGTATGATCGAATGGGGTGAGCGGTGTGAACGGAATGCACGGGCGGCCGGAGCCCTGTCACGTCCCCAACCCAGCACTCACCATTCATTCCTCTCCTGGACACCGAGGTGGTCAGGTCGTCACATCAGAGCCACATTATCCATTGTCTGTGCCCTGGGAAGTGTATTGTCCATTATACGTTGTCATATTACAATTATATTCGCGTGTATTTGTTACGTCGTGTGTAATTGTTCCGGTCAATGTACTTGTGCAATATATGTGTCGTTTACATCTCATTTCTGTTTATTGTAGGTTTTACTGTGATAATTAAACCATAAAACAAAACCCGAGACGTTTGGTTTTTATTATACCCCAGACGGTCTACAAATACATAAGGCACACGTGTACTTTGATGAGCTTTAATTGGAGCAAGGTTCCCGGTGTTTCACCGAGTGACATCATCACTTTATATTTTTTAATTTCTTATCAGTCTTATAAAATTGTGCTTTCACTGTCGTTGGCAAATGCATAATGCGATAAACAAAATGTTTACAATCGGGTCATTCAATGTGAGATTTATGAACTCATCATGTGTAATATTTTTTTACAGATTCGTAAAATACCCTATAATAGAACTAGTTTCATCAATATCTCGTATGAATTGAAACTCAATGAAGAACTTGTCCCCTATTTATTCATCATAAGAAAGAGATATTGGAGTAGTAATAGATTCCGAATTAGCTTTTGATGAACACATATCTGAGAAAGTTAAGAAAGCAAACTCTATGTTTGGATTAATACGAAGAACATTCCAGTTTATGGATTTTAAATTATTTATTCCACTATACAAAAGTCTTGTTCGTTCCCATTTGGATTATGCTATTGCTGTGTGGTCGCCACATTTACAGAACATATAGACAAGATCGAGGCTGTACAAAGACGAGCTACCAAAAGTCTCCCAGGGATGCAAACTTTAAGCTATATTGACAGATTAAAAAAATTCAAATTACCAACTTTGGCCTTTAGAAGAATCAGAGGTGATATGATTGAATTATATAAAATATTGAATGTTTATGATAAAGATTGTTGCACGTCTGTACCACTATGGAGAGATGTGGCAGATCGCCACAGCAGTCGAGGAAATTCAAAAAAAATATTCCCCAAACGGAGCAACAACATGTTACGGAAAAACTTTTTTTCAATACGAACAGTATCAATATGGAATAGTCTACCTGAAGAAGTAGTATCGGCACCCAATATAAACTCTTTTAAAAACAAACTGGACAACCACTGGAAGAATCAAGAACTTTATTATAACTATAGGGCAACAATCAAACTTTAACTATAGCTATATTTATGTACATGTGTATTTTCTATACCTGTATATTATGTATTTACATATATGAGTCTGGTGTAGAGGACTTGTCTTAGTCCTGAACCGCAAATAAACTTAACTTAACTTAATAATCAGGAAGTTTTAAACCATTTAGATATAGTTACTGAAGCATACGTTCATGAAATAACCGATTAGTTTTTACATTGACTATATCGAAGTCTGTGGTTATCACAGTCAAATTTTAAAAACAATGAATTCAATTAAATATGGACATTATTGAATGAATCATGGATATAAGTGTATATACTATTGGCATTAAGTGTGGCTCTGATATCCATCAGGAACAGTCTGTGCCTGGCCTAGCCACACAAACCCAAGCTTCGCTGTCAAAGACCGTTGTCTATCCATCCATTCTAATTTCGTGCTTAAACCAGAGACGTATATATACGTCTCTGCTTAAACAGATGGAATAAAAATACAGTTCTGAATTATTTAATACAATACAAAAAAAATCTTAATTAGCTAAGACATTATACAAGTAGCCGAAATATGAATCTGACGTGTAACGATTTTCAAAAGTTACCTGCGTGTCAAACATACACGCCTGTGCCGTTATGTAACTGTCCGATCAACGTTACTGGGGCAGTGAATTTTCGTGGTCTGGCTTTAAGCATTTCCACTCTCATAATGAATTATCATCCGGACTATTTATTTTACAAACAGCTACACTCCTTCGTATGAGTGACTTATGTTTTATTTTCCCACACAAGACACACACACGCTGTGTAAGATTGTAATTTACCTGTGTGAAATACCTGTGTCAATGGGTACCCACACATTGATGTGTCATCGACTTTCTACTTTCAGCCAATCAGAACATTTGTTTTCGTCACGTGAACGGAATTAGTCCGACAGCTTTGTACCTGTATGCGACAGGTTGATGTGTAGAAAATATTACATTCAGACTGTAATAAGGAGGAAATTGAAACCTTTTTAGGATCTGTGTTATTCAAGAAGATTGTACAGACAACATTTATTTCACGAAGATGGATAACTTCATCCAGGTGTAAAACAAATTTCATTTTGGGACAGTCCGTCTGCATCCAATATGGCGTTTGGGCACTTCCGATTTTAGTATCGAACACAACGGAAAAGAGAGGAATTAGTAACTTAACATTTCATATATTGTCACGATAAAGGTGTCTAAATTATAACACTTTCAAATTATATTAACCACGAGGCATGTCAAAGTCAACATTCCACAGGTGAATCCAGCTCTTTGATGTCACTGTATTCAAAATGGAACCGAGAGTGGCGAGACGAAACCGATTCTACAAAGGCTCAAACAGTCCGATTTCAGTGCTACATTTACTAACATTTATGTTATGGGTGATACAAGAACATCTGTATTGTGTGAATTGTCAAGAAGGTAAGATGATTAAGAAAAGTTTTTGTTGTACTAATTACGATATTTTTCTCTCTTGTACACTTGAGATATCTTGCCTGCCGGCATGTTTACAACAGTGTGGTGGAATGTTATAGATACAATAGGCCTAATGTCTTTCATCAAAATGATATAGCAATAACAAAACCATCAAAAGACTCCAAAAATATATCTTATGTTATTACATTTAGCTTTTTTAACCCACACCTTAAGTGTCCTAATTTGACCGTTTTAGTTTTCCACCCCACCCCTCCCCTACTACTGCCACTCCCCCTCCTTTCTCTGTTCATTATAAATTTGTTTCATATATTGGCTGAACAATTAAGAACATATCTCAGTCTTAAGCTCGCAACATTAACCAATTCCATCTGTTTCAACAAAAGTTTTACATGTATGTGAACATTTATGGTGATTGTCTGACCTGACCAGATGCGTACTTGTTTTTAAATACCAAGTTTCTCTGATCCTGATCAAAACTCTTTGGTTAGGACATATTCAAGAGATAATATGCATGGAAAAATAGGTTTTCATATGTTTGTCAGAAGATTTGGTGGGACATATTTTGGTATATAATGTTGTCCATGTGACTGTCTCTCACAATCTTTCATTTTTCTTGAGATCTCCTTCAGTTTTTGACCAATTTATTTGTAACTTTGCAGGCTTTATGGTCATGACATAAAACTGTATTTTCCTGAACTGCCTTTTCTTTTGCAGGTTCTATATGGGCAGTTAAAAATGTACATAAATTTTGAGTCTTGTACTCATACAATTTATGGAATTAGGTCAAATTAAATTTTACATGGAATTAGGTCAAATTAAATTTTACATTTCAAGCAACTTTTTTTATCCAACAATTTTCCATTTCCAGGACATTACTTTTATTAGAGTATTGATTTTGCAGATATTAGTTTCAACAGTATTTTGTGATTTTTGTTCTTATTCCACTGATTAAATGCTGCCAGAATGTATCATTTTTTATCTGTTCATATAAATATCTTTCCCCTTAAACCTAGATTAAGTTAACCACCCCCCACCCCCTCTTCTTCAGATTTTATCTTATTTATTTCAAATTTGCATAAAAATCATACATGTATATACTTATGCATTAAAATGAAAATGGTTTGACAAGTATGTTAAGTGCTCATGTATGATTGAGTAATTACATGTAGATGATTATACCTGTAATGTCATCTTTCATATGTCTTGATTTTTTTTCTTTCAGATCAATATCCACCAAAATATTTTATAACTCCTCCCCAGTGTGGTAGCATTGTGGGTACGGGAGGATTCAAGTTCATGACATGTAGAGCGAGTAGTTCTCCCAGTCCAATGTACCAGTGGCGGAAAAATGGGACAGATATTCCTGGTCAAACCAACGCCCAGCTCAAAATACAGAACATACAACGACAAGATGCAGGCTTTTATCAGTGTGTGGCATACAACGATCTTGGATTGTTACTGTCTGAGAGCTGCAAAGTGACGGTTGCTTGTAAGGAAATTGTTTTGTTTTTAGAACCCTTACTGATTTGTATCTACAAGCTATATGTATATATGCTGACTCATATAAATGGATATCCATCATCTATTGTTTTAGTCATTATAGGAAGAATACCAACAATTGATGCAAATGAAACTAGATGCCATCAAACATAATTAAGACTGTTAAGCTGAAGATTTTTGTGGGTGTAGGGAATGTTCCCTTTGAAATTTTTCAAATACATACAGGGAGTTAAGATCAATGGGTCACCTTAGGCAATTTTTCATGAATGTCTAAAATAAGGTTGGCAGTTTTAGGTAAACTGAAAGTTGATGAAAAAATAAATAAGATCAATTAAAGATTTGAGGGGCCAGGACCCCTTGGCACCCCCTAGGAATATCCTTGCTGCATATATTTTAACTGATCTGTTCTGATTACATTTTAGCAATAAAAATTAAACTTGAAAGAAAATGTGATAAAATTACAAACAAAGCAGTCATTGGCAACTGTCCATGGAAATAATTGGTCACTATATAAACAATGTTTTGGATCACACTCATGATTTACCAAGACATTGTCAAGTTGATGACGTGCCATTTCTGAAATAATATGTTGTATGTGAACAGAAACAAATTTAAAAGAATACATGAGAATATAATGTCACGTAAATTATTCAAAGATGTGATCGGCCAAAATAAAATACTGTGTGGTAAGAAAACTTGACAAGTTGTCAAAAGGTTTAACTTGTCCTAGAAGTAAGAACAGTCCTGCGCTATCATAAATTTGTTAATATACCTCCCCAAGGTTTATAAATAATTCATATACATGAATTCTGTTTGCAATGTTTTAATCAGCATTTTGTGAAATTGTAGTCCTTGAAAAGTTTGATATTTTTATTTCTGCTAAATTCTAGGGAAGAAGGTATTAATGTTGTGGATAATGTTACATCTCATTTACTGAAGAAAAGACTTGAGATATTATTATCTAGTAACATTTTTCAGTCAGAGTTCTTGGTCTGACCCTGGTTTCATTATTTTTGAGCACTTGAGGAAAATGTCTTTTTTTTTCCAAAACATACAACAGGTGTGATTTGTTAATGTCAGATAACTTAAGAAATGCAGCCAGGCTAGCAATTACTACTTTGTTGTTTTAGTAATTGATCATTATGTGATTAACTATGACCATGATTACTACCCTGTCTCACTGAGATAACAGGTGGCCAATTTTTTACACTCTAAAGTAATTGATAGGCCATAAAGTTTAAAGTGATGAATGAACTGAGTTGAATTGTGTTAATCTGATTGGTCTCTTAGTAAACAGTGTAAGCATTTTGTTTAGATATTCTACTGAAGTAAATTCATGAATTTTTCACATGCTCTGTATGGCTGGATGGTAGTTTCAGACTGTTCATTATAGACACTGGTTTTTTATAAACAAATGGTGGCATAGACAGCTAGTCTGACTGTATCTACCAAGGTTTTTGTTTATGAATGTCTATAATATGGCGACTCTCTGAAAGGACAACATTGGCAAAATACTTTTTACATTTTTCTGATTGTATAAGATAGTGTGTTGACATGTTTGTAGTTCAATTCTGTGATTCAGGCTCTTGGGTCAGTATACTTTGTGTATTGTAGAGAAACTGCTTTTTTATTTTAATTTTCTTGATGACCTCTGTAATGAAATGGTATAGAACATTTGAACAGAATAATCCTTGAGAGAAGGTTTTTAAGTCATTGAAATTGGGACCCTATTCCTCAGAAACTGGGTGTTGGAGCTATAAAGATGATATATTTTCACTTTTTGTAAAGGAAAATTAAAGGGTTGTGTAAACAAGGCCCTAACTTGTTATTGAATGTTGATATTTTTCTAAGTAACAATTTGAAAAGACTGCTCAAACCATTTCTTACATTGTTGCAGATATGGATTCATTCTCATCATCAATAGACCAAGATGTGCCTGTTCAGGAAGGGGATGCTGTTGTTTTACAGCTTCCAAATATCGCCTCTGTCCCAGCACCAACTATGGATTGGTACCTTGATCAGAATCAGATGGATGTTTTTGGACCACACCACTACGTTACTCTAGACAACAATTTAGCTTTATTAGACATAAGCGATCTTTCAAACAACAATGTGTATCATGCTGAAGCTCTGAATGGTCAGTCTGGAGATTTTGCGCAAAGTGGAAAATTTACCCTCAAAGTGCAAGGTAATTTCAAGTCTGTAGAAATAACACTGTTATAACAATCTAAAAAAAAAATATGTAATAAATGTATTTATGCATACATCACATTTTTGATATCCCGCTATGAAGTTAGGTCAGTTCATACTGGAATCAGCAGGTCTGTCTCTGTAGAAAAACTTGTCAGGACAACTCCTTATCTTGGGAACTAATTTCAATACAACTGTACAGGAATGTTGGGAGACAATCTGTAGATGTGCATGCAGATCTTGTCAATAGATATTGATAACCAGGTCACTGTACAAAGATAGATTAGTTTAGATGAAAGTTTGTCCAACGGTGTAAATTATCAAAGCCTATTAACTTGACTCATAACGTTTTTCTAGAACTATTACCAAGGAAACATAATGGAAACTTCTAATAAATTGAAATTGAGATATTGTTTGATCATGCTAGTACATGTTTTGAAAAGATGGTTATTTCATTGGTACCATTTTCAAGAACATCTGATGTCATTTGGTTACTACAATTAAAAGGATTTAATTGAGACTTCTAAACTACAGAACCAATTTTAATGGAAATTATACAGAAAAATTATTGGCAACTTGTATATGTGTATTTTTTTTTTTTTTTTTTTTTCTTTAATTATGGTTGGTTTGGTAGTGGGGGTCACTATACATATATATATATATATATTACAATATTCATGGTAAGGAGATGGGGCATGGCAAAGGAATGGTACCTGTCTAGGGAAATTCAAAATTGTACATAAAACATTGGTTATGAATTACTGGGACTGAAACTAAAATGGTTGATGTATAAGGTTATTGTATACCTTTATGTTGAAAAAAAATTATTCAGTGATGAAGGTTTTTTATCTTCTCTTTTCATTTCTTGGAAATAACTTTTGCTGAGAAAATCAGTTATTTAGGTAACTTGATGCATTCTTCAATTATGATTTGAAAAAATTGAACAATTTCTGTCAATTTGCAGGTAACAATGTGGTGGCAAAAGCCCCAACAATGGAAATACCTCCTAAAGATTTGTCCGTTGTAGCTGACTTCACAACAACAGTGGCTAATTTTGAGTGTGTCGTGAATGCAAGGTGATTATAAGAGAGAAGTTTTACAAAACAGTTCTCATCAATGGAAGGCATTCATTGGCATTATTTATGGCATTTTCAGATATTAAGAAATATTGCTGATTGGATTGAGGAATAAATTAAGTGTTTCTTGCTTATAAAAAAAAATGTAAAATGAAAAGATTTTGTGAAATATTTTCAAAACTATATTTTAGGGGAAAACCTTTTTCTGAGGCACCCATAGATTATAATAAGTTGAACTTATGAATTTCTCATAAATTTATGAGTCCTTGGTATTTTCTAACATACAATCATATGATAAACAAATTATATAATATACATTTGTATGTTATGAAATTGTAATGATATTGATATCATTTGATTTTTTTTTTCAGGCCAATTGGTTCATTGGTAACAAAATGGTACAAAGTAAATGGGGCCACAAGAACTGAAATTTTTGAAGATTCTGTCAAATATCTATTTGGTGATGGGAGATATCATCGCAGACTTCAGATACGAACTCCAACAGCTTCTGATGAGGGAGTATATGAATGTGAGGCAGAACTCCAAAATTCCCCCGATGGAAACACATATCCCAAGCAAAATGCTCGAGCAAATTTAACGATTTATGGTATGTTTTTTCACTCTCTCACAGAACTTGTTATAAGAATAGAGAAAAGATATTTGCTTGTCAAGAATTTTTGTCAGAGCTTTCATTGCCATAACATTTAGGAGACTGAAAATGTCCTTTAGTTATCAATTTGGGTTTTGGTATTTTAATGTCATATAATGATACACACAGATACATGTATCACAATGGCAACATTACTATTTAAAATCTAGATGTTATTTTTTTAACAAGTTAACTTTAAACTGATCTTGTAACATTCACACTTGATTGAAGTTACAGTAATTATCAATGCTCTACATACAGAAACTGTTACAAAAACCTGTCTTATCAACTTAGACAATAGCCATCCAATCTGCTTTATGAACGTCATTGCAAATAACACTTAATAGTTACAAAAATATTTAAACAGATTAATTGAAATCATGAAAATGAAGTTGATACTGAAAGTAATCTATGAGTAGAGAGAATTTAGTTTGAACAAGAACTCTTATAATGGCTGTCACAGCAACCAAAGGATTTTGGGGAAATATGCCTCATTGTTGAAAAACTGTCCTGTGATTCGTCACTACCCAGACCTGGATTTTATTTCTTGGAATATAAACTACCTTCAGAAAATGGCTTCTTTTAACTATGGTACAGATTTGACATAATTATGAGTTGGATTGTTATTCAAATTTTTTTTCAGTCCTTATTTGATGGCTTGCCATAGTGAGTAATTAAATGTCGTTATATTTTAGCTGCCATTAATGATTTTTAAAAATAATATCCAAGTGTCTTTATAGTATGATAAACAAGTAATTGTCCTATTTGACCACAGAAAAACCAATCATCACCTCGCAGATTTTAAGTGATTATAGCAAAGACTATGCTGAGACTGTCACTGTGCCATGTACTGCCACAGGGGAACCCACACCAACCATACACTGGTACTTCAATGGGGCAGAAGTCACCTCTCTAGCTAGTAACAAGTAAGCTGTTGTGTTTCCCTATTGCTATTTAAACATGCAACTTATTGTACAGTTGTCTGATTTCAGAGAGCAGAAATTCTGCACTTATTCCAACTAGAATTAGTTTATGGGTGTTATATGTAATACATCACTGATCTGTCAAAATGTTGGAGATTGATGTCACTGAATTGACTTAGAGTTACCAAATAATATTTGCCACTCCCATTTGACTCCTAGCACAGTTGGATAAAGATTAGTGTCATGAGTGTAGAATTTTGTTTGTTCTTTTTGTTTTGTTCAAGGGGATTAAATTGTTGTGATTACTTAATGAGAAAATCAATATTTCATTTAAAACAGACATACAGTACAATCAGATGGCACTATTACGATCACAGCTTTAGACCTGGAAGATTCTGGAATATACCAGTGCTTTGCCAAAAATGCTGCTGGTGAAATGGTGAAATCTACGTGGATCAAAGTCAACAGTAAGTAGATGGCAGACTTTCCTTGTACCACAGTAGTGTCCAAACCAGAATTTAAAAACAAGGACATTGAAAGGTTTAGTTTTAAATTGCCATGGGAAGACTTCAGTGCTTTGGGTCTATTCTCTGATATGTAGCTTGTCCTCTGAAAGGTCGAAATACAATTAAAGTGGATGAAACCCTGTAAAATAAATGAATCTCTGATATGTATAATGCAATGTATCAAGCAAACTTTGACAATATTTATCCATTTCATTATAATCATTATGATGAATGTCTTTGCAGGCTTACCCCCAGAACTGGTTTCACCACCTCAGAATTTGACTGTTGTGGAAGGATCTGATGCTCGAATTTCCTGTAGTGCAACTGGAGCTCCAAAACCAACCATCTATTGGGTCAAAGGTTAATATTTTGCAAGGGACTTGTGGAATGTTTTCAGCTTCCAATTTTGGTTAAAAAAAAGTAGTAATAATATTTTTTCTTCCTTCTTTTGAGGTCAGAATAAATATATCTTCTGATAAGTTCTGTACCTTTCAAATCATACAGTTTTCAGTATTAAAAGAGATTTTAAGTCAGATTTCTTATTTCATGATCAATTAATTGTTTTGATGTAATTTTTTCAGAAAATAAATTTGCAACAAAACACATGCAGGCAGGCTAGTATTTCTCAATATTAATGAGAAATTAGCAATGTCACAAATATATTGATACTGACAAATGACATTTTATGTTATTCAGTTGTTGATGAAGTCCCACAACCTATTGTTGTCGGTGGACGTTTCCAGATCATGGATGGATCAGATCTTCTTATCACCACAACGCAGGCCTCAGATTCAGGCCAGTACCGATGTAACGTCACAAACAGTCGCGGCAGTCTGGAAGCTGAGGCTCATCTGGCTGTTCTTGGTAGGATTAAGTTTGATGATACATTTGTATTCATATCTGTTCGAAGGTGCCAAGTTTCTGTTTAGCAATTGACAGCTTTGCTATTATGTTAATCTCCTTATTCAAAAGAGTTCTGCATTAAGACATCTCCGATATGAATAAATTTATTCATCAAGATGTGATTAAGTGTTAAAGATCAAGAAATCTGATTGATAATACAGCTGATGCATAGGAGATTAATTGGGTAAAAAATTCCTTACACAATGTCTGCAACATACATTCTTCAGGTATGGTAAATTTTTCAGGAATTTTGTCCTGTTAGCTACTTAGACCATGATTCTTTTGAGTCACGCATTATGATTTACATTATTTTATGAAGTTAAAAGAAAATTGTCTTTATTCTTACAGTGAGAACACAGATTACTGCTCCCCCACAGAATGTCTCCAGAGGCAAGGGAGAGAATGCTGTCATGCCTTGTAGTGTATCACATGATCCACACATACAAGTGCAGCTCAATTGGTATAAATTTGACCGTATCACCAATGAGAAGAATCTTCTGAGTAATAGCAGCCGTATCAGCATCAGTGGAACTGGAACCCTTCAGATCATGGGCGTGTATAATATAGACATTGGCTACTATCAGTGTGAGGTTATCTCTTTAGGAGGGAATGACAGCCGCAAAGCTTATCTCTCTGTCTTAGGTAGGCTTAAACACTTTAAGAACAATATTGTGAATTTGTCATTTCTTGACAAATTTTGAAATTTTGAATTATTTTAAACATTGCTTAATTGCACCACAAAACCTGAACTGAAAAAATTATCTGAATTGATCTGAATACCAATATGTCTTTTCAGAACAGGAAAAAACCCATTTCAAATTTGAGATGGAATTTTGAACTGATTTTGATTGATCATTTGGGATATGTTATTGGTAACAATTAAATTTATGTGTAAGTGTATGGTGATTTCCTCTAAATTGTTGCTGTATCCTACAGAGATCCCCCACCAACCTGTTCTCCAGACTGTAGAAGTTCTGCAGTCAGACTTAAGGGCAGTGAATTTGACCTGGCAGCCTGGCTTTGATGGTTACTCGCCCATCATCAGGTTTATTATACAATACAGACAGGTTCTCTTCGTACCAGGAGAAGGTAATTACATCTTTAGACTTTATAAGGATATCTGACATATGGATTTTTCAAATTCTGCTGAGTAGTATAGAAAAAATGACTGATGTTGATATATATATACACCTTTAACATGAAAGAGACTTTTAAGATGAAACATATAGATATTAAACATAATGCTTATGACTTAAGAGGTGCACAGTTTCCTATTTCAAGAACTAACTTTTTTTCCTTTTTCCCCAGAAATTAAAAATATATATATTAGCCCTTAAGGAGACAAATGCGTATTTCATGCCTATAGCCAGTCATTAAGTTTCATGTCTAGACTAAAATTTCTGAATGAATGTGGCTTTCACATAATTATGTATGTTTGGCAATATAAGCCATTATGACTACTACTATTTTGGTTTTTGTCAGGTATAAAAGACAGTCCTGAAGAAGGTTGGGTCACATACCCTGAGACGGCACCCTCTAGCAACAACTGGTTCATTGTTTCTGGGCTGCGTCCAGCACGTAGTTACCAGTTTCGTGTTAGTGCTGTCAACAGTATGGGGGAAGGTGCAAAGAGTGAAGCAAAACCAGTTCCACCCATTAACATGCCAGAGCAAGGTAGGTAAAAAAAATTCAATCAAACCTGTAGAGCAGTTTCGCTGAATCAGCCAAGGACTACTCAAAGATTAGGACAAGATTGGCCGATAAGTTTAGCCCCACCCCTATGGACTTTGACCTTGGTTGACCTTTAGTAAAAGGAAATAGTTGAGCAGCCCACTAAGATACAAGGATATCCAAAGTAACACTTATCCTGTTTTGGAATAATTTGGCCAAGGTTTTTAACTTCAAAATGACTGAAATTCCAACCCCTTATCAATTTAATTGTTAATTAATGAATAGAGTCATTCTGAAAATATTAAAGATTATCAATATTTGCCTCCATAATGATTTGTACATTTCATGGGTATGACTCTTAATTGTTTTGTCAAAAGATAAATGCATGAGAAACAGGTTCTTGCAACTTATTGGCTCATCTCCACAAAGTACAGAAATGAACAGCAATAGTGGAATGATTTGCTCAAGACTATTTCCTGTTTTTATCTTTCATTTTCTTGTCTTTCTTGAATCTATACTTGGATTATATTTGAAATTTCAGAAAATCATCAGATGAATTAAAAGGGAGGGGTCAAGGCCTATTGAATCTTGACAACAAAGGAATTAATATACGCTCAAAGCTTGTTGTCCTATTCTATAAGTATGTGTTAAATTGTTGAATATTGAATAAAAATATTGTTCAAACTAAAATCTACTGTGGTTTCAGCTCCCAGTGGTCCACCAAAAGGATTCTTTGGCAGTGCACGATCAAACTCCTCCATCATGCTTCAGTGGCAAGCTCCAGACGAAGATAAATGGAATGGAGATCTCCTTGGCTACACGATCAGATTTAGACTGGCTGATTATCCCAGTGCCTCATACCATTTAAGAAATGCCACTATCTGGCCTTTGACATCCTATGAGTTGACAAATCTGATAATTTTCCAGGAATATGAGATACAGATTGCTGCATTTAACAGTGAGGGAGTAGGTGTGTACACATCGTCAATCAGGGTGGCCACGATGGAGGGAACGCCAGATGCTCCTCCTAGGGATGTGTCAGCCACCACAGTGAATTCAACATCTGTGGAAGTGTCCTGGATTCCACCTGATGCTGCATATTTCAATGGAGTGAATCTTGGATATAAAATCTATATGCAAGAGATGACAGATCCTGAACCCACTTTTCGACTCAAAGTGGCCCCTGATGCAAATAACCCTGTTGGAATACAGACTGCATACATACACAACCTGAAGAAGTATACAAACTATACTGTGAAAGTCACATGTTACACAAGTAAAGGGAATGGACCTTTCAGTTCAACTGTAGCTGTGATGACTGAAGAAGATGGTGAGTACTGCAATGACATTTCCTTCTTTATCGCTTTTTTCTTTGATAAATTCTGAATTGAAATTATGAACGAGGGACTTAATTCTCTGCCATTGTTGATATATCATTTGATATATACCAATGTCTTAGTTCAACATTTGTTTATATGATGTAGCTGTTTAACATGTAATAAGATGGTATGAACACATGCTGAAATTGCTTTGCAATGTTTTACTAAAAAACAATTCTTGTTATGTTTGATAAGTAATAATTATTGAATTTGTAATAATCGGGTGATAATTATGTTGTTTTTTTGTACATTCAGTACCTGGTCAAGTTGGAAGTCTGTCCTTTACAAACATCTTGGACATATCTTTGAAAGTTATTTGGACTCCCCCTACAGAGATCAATGGAATACTCTTGGGTAAGGAATTCAGAAATCTAGAAAATGTCACTATTTGTATACTTGAGAAATCACTGAAATTTACTACTCAAAATCATGACATTTCCTGGTCCACTTATATATCATTTCATAGCTTATATTATGAATTTCCAAGTAGTTTCTTGTTCACTTTGGTATATTCCATTGCATTTCTAACCTAAATTCTTCAGAGTATAAACTTGAGTGGATGAAACGCAACTCTACAGAACAAGCCAAGTCAATAGACTTACAGAAGATTTTCAATGATTACACAATACGAGGCTTGTCACCTAGTACCAACTACACTATCATGGTCCGTGCCAAGACAGCGAAGGGTTATGGACCTCCTAGGTCAGCTGACATCCAGTCTGGGGTTCCTCCAGGTAAATTACACAAATGGTTTTTCATATATCTTTATCATAATTGTATTATATTCAATATCATTCATTTTTAAAAGCAAATCTTGTCATTTTCAGGTGCTTTTTAATCTAGACTTTTATTAATCCTTACTTCACTTGGCCATTCTGGTCAGCTGATACATTTGCACTGATACATTGACTATTGCCAATCTTGGAGTATGATCTCTTCATAATCATTTGTTAAAAATTTCAAGTTGCACTCCTGTTTGAATTTGAAATGAGCATGTTGCGTAATTCCATGATATTAACACTGTTAAACAGAGCAACCAACGGCTCCAATTAACCTTGGAGTATCAAACATAGAAGCAACCTCAGTCCTGCTCCAGTTTATACCCGGATATGATGGGAAAACATCCATCACTACCTGGATCGTACAGGGACAGCAGAATGACAACACAACCTGGGGAGAAGTTTACAGAATTTCAAATCCTGGAGCAACCTCGCTCACAGTTCTCAATCTCCGTCCCTACACTGAGTATCGACTACGAATGACTGCTGTCAACATTGTTGGCCCAAGTTTACCAAGTGAACCAACTAGGAAATTCCAGACGCTACAGTCAGCACCCAGCGTTCCACCTGACAATGTTACTGTCAGGGCACAGAATGCTACTGCTCTCAGGATCAGCTGGGCAGTAAGTTTGTACACAATTCTCATCAGAAAATACTTTTAACATTAGAATGCTTAAATAAATTTCTTGTTCCAGATTCTGCTATATGTATTCTTATTAAAAAGGTTTATACATCCTGAGCATGTAGTGATGCACATTTGAAGTTTCATGTAATGTTTTTGATGATGTGAAGTTATTTTGGATTGAAATTAAAAACATTTATTGTTCAAAGACCTGGAGGCCTGTTATATTTTCAGTATTCATTTTTTCACACCTTTGTTCTGTTCAATAATTCCATGAATTTCATGTTCTGTAATTTTTTATGTTTTTTTGCAGCCATTGTCTAAGAGTGAGTGGAATGGTGCTCCACGTGGCTACCAGTTATTTTACAAGCTCAAACAGAACCAGGTATATGCACAGATTGATCTAACCATGGACCATGACAACCACTTCCTGAATGGACTGGAGGAGTGGATGGAGTACCAGGTCAGGATGAAAGCCTACAATGATGTGGGCAGTAGTGCATTTAGTCCCATCACTACAGAACGGACTCGAGAAGCAAGTAAGTAGCCAGGATCAGGAAAAAGTTTTTTTACTTACACAATAGTACAGTAGCATTAAGTTTGTTTTGAAACGTTATTTTAGATCATGAATTTTATGAAGAAACAGAAGTTTTTAATCCAAATATTTGAGTTATTGCCTAATATAATTGTTATTTTTATTGCAAATGATAAAGCCATGCATGACATCTCAAAGGTAAGTCGTAAGAAAAACATTTGATGAATGAATCAAATGATGAATTACCTCCAGACAGAATCTGGATTAGTTGTGCTCACAATTGTATTGTTAAACTATATATCACTTATTGTTTTCATTATTCATGCTTAATATAATATGTGGTGGTTTTGTAAAAAAATTCCTTGAATCAGTAACATCAGTTACAATCGGTGGGATTTACACAAATTTGCAGTTAATTAGGTCTCGAATACTCAAGTAACCTATTGCAATCGTCTTTTGTCTGGCTTCACCAGCATGCATTGTAAACAATTTACATTTTCGACTTCTACTCAATAACCAAAACGCCCAGGGTCATGGTATGGGGCCAGTAGCGTTCTGGGATAAAGGGCTACCAAGTTTGTTCAAATGAATGACCTTGATCTAAACAACTTCTTTTCAATAACCTAAAGGTCCAGGTTAATATATTGGGCCAGTAGCATACTGAGATTAAAGACTGCCAAGTTTTTTCAAATGAATGACCTTGACCTACTTTCAAGGTCAAAGGGGACAAATGTGTTAAAATCTTTTAATGACTTCTTCTCAATAACCCAATGACTCAGGGTCATGATATTGGGCCAGTAGCATGCTAGAATGAAGGGCTATCATGTTTGTTCAAATGAATGACCTTTACCTTCATTCACAAGGTCACAGGCGTCAAATATGCTTAACTACAACAACAGATAATAAAATCAGTAGTTCTTTGGCTTTATAAGGAAGTCCACATATTCTGCAAACAGTAATGAGGGAAAAATTGACACAGCAAATGAAGAATTAACTTTTTTTCTTACCCATGTTGTGCATGAATACTTTTCCTTGTGAAGTGCATGCAGTGTGTTTATTAGCGGCAGTTTGATACAAATGGCAATATAACTTCAAAGATCAAGTAAATTGTCTAAGAAGGTATGAAATTTATTTTTAAATTGATTTTACCATTAGACTTTGTCTTTTGTGATCTACAGCTCCATCAGATGGTCCAACAAATGTGAGAGCCGTCCCAGTGTCTTCAACCTCAATCAATGTTTCATGGTCAGATGTACCTGCTCTGGACCAGAATGGTCTTATCTCAGGCTACAAGGTGAGGTATTCTCACAACTAGTCTATCTTAGGACATGTGCAGTTTTAGGGATTAAAAATGAAAGTAGATTCATTTACCTGTAATGATTTTGAGGTAATGCTTAAGTTTTATACTGGAAAACAAGTCAGCTGTGTGGGCATGTTGTTTAAGGAAATGTAAAGGAATTATGCTGTTAGTGTCATATAAGAATAACAGAATAGTTTGTGTGCTTTCATTGATGGTTATGCAGGGCTCTCACATCCCATTTTGGGACTGGGGCCCGGGGCCCAGGGCCCTTAGAATTGGGAAAAATAGCAGCGTTTTCCTTAGAATTGTGAAAACTTGGGGTCTAAATTGGGAAAAAAAAGATACTATTTTGCATTGGGAATGGGGCCAAATATTGGCCCCAAATCTGGCAGAGAGCCCTGTTATGTAATTATATAATGTTGTCACATTAGTATACTTTGATTTCTTTGATTCAGGAGGCTTATTAATTGTAATTGAAAATTGTCTGAAAAAATCCTTGGATGATTTTTTTTGTGTCTTGTAGGTCCAATATGAGTCATCCTTCGAAAACATCGCACCTGTAATGCAAGATGTACCTGGAAACCAGACATACAGTGTAGTAATTCAAGGCCTACGAAAGTTTGTGTCATACCAGGTGCAGGTCCTAGCATATACACGCATGGGAGATGGAGTACTTAGCGTGCCCAAGAAAACTGTCAAAACGTTTGAAGACAGTAAGTTTATTTTAAGCTATTTTCTTGCAGAAGTTTTGCTTTAGGTGACATAAAAGAAAGTTCATAGTTGTAGACTTCTGCCATTGTGTTACACATTTTTTTAAAAGTGTATTTCAATCCTTTTTTTTTCCCTGACATTTTTTGTTTTTATTTTATCCAAAGCAGTTTTATAACCACACTTGTTGGTTGTTTAAACAGGTAACAAAACTGATCTGGTTCGTAATATGACTTTAAAGATTTGCAGAAAAAGGTAGAAAATGAGAAGGCAAATTATTTGAATTTATTCCAAATGTAAATTTTACAGTTTGGATGGCAATTTAAAGAGATTAGTATGTTTTGTCTGTTGGAGAAACTTACCTTGAAATGGATAACACCTAGACTGAGTTCTACTGTGAAGTGCACTTTAACTTTCAACCATCATTCATTATTATTAATATGTGTCATATATTTCTTAGCACCTTTTTTATTTAACCTTAATAGCATTTTTTCTCTACAATGCCTGGATTACTTTTTCAGAGCCAGGCCCACCTGTGATTGTGTGGTTTCCCCAGGTTACCTACACAACTGCCAAAGTCATATGGAGTCCCCCTTTGGAACCAAATGGTATGGTCAGTGGATATATGGTGTCCTACCGTATCAAAAACATGAACACTATCACCAACAGCTCGGAGCTACCGTCTACACAGTACGAATTTACTGTGGCCACATTGCAACGTGAGACTTACTACCTCTTCAGTGTGACAGCTCGCACACATCTGGGCTGGGGAACGCCGGCAGAGGTTCTCGTCTACACCATGATCAACCGCAGTACGTTTCTTTGAATACAGATATTTAGATTTTAGTCCAGAAATTTGGAAAAATATTGCTTCATGAGGGCTTTCGGAAATGAAACTTTTTCTGCCATTGTTGTTTGGTTTTTCATTTTCTATTCAAATCGAAAATGTTTGATTGCTCTGGTTGACATGTCTGGAGGTTGGTCTTTTTTATGGTACACCAATTTGTCTCAATTCACAATAAAGTATCTAACACAGGGAGTTGCACATACCAAGAGTTTTTAATTATGTAGACTACAGAAGTTTCCCATGGAAGGTGGTTGGTAAATATATGTGAGAAATAGCTCAATAATTTGTTATAATGTGTGACTGGATCAATCACCTTTACATTGCATACAATATGGGAGGATGTTGAGTGCGATATGTCCTGAAGAGAAAGTAATTATAAATGTTGTAGCTATCCCAGACCGTCCCTCATTGCCATCAATTACATCAGAAGTTGGGCCGCGGTCAGTGGTGATAAGTTGGCAGCCTGCCTTTGATGGATATGGTCCCCTGAGAAACTACACTATACAATACCGCAGTCAGAATGGAGACTGGAGCACAACCCCTGAGACAGTCCCCACAGAACTCAACTCTTACAAAGTTACTGGGTAGGACGTCAACATTCAGTTATTGGAAGTTTATTTTCCCTCAGATATTAACTTAGCTGAAAAAAGTATTCAGATTAATCCAGTATGCCAGGAAGGTTAACCCTTCATCTATTAAAAATGTTTGCCTTCCAAATGTTAATTCCATTTTGAACATTGATTTACATATTAAGGGAATGCCATAATTGAAAAAAATGGAGTTGATTTTTTCATGATATTTCATATTTTGTGAAAAGAAATGAATGTTTTGGTGATTTTTTAAAATAAGATTTGTCTGTGTACAATAATTACAGGATTTGATCCCATTGTTACTTGATATTTTAGTCTGCATCCTAACACTCAATATCGGTTCAGAGTGGCAGCCACGAATGATGTAGGAATGAGTCCATTCAGTGATGAATCTTTACCAGTTATGACCTTGGAAGCCAGTAAGTGTCTAGTTAGATTTGGTAGGAGTGACATTAAATTTTTTTAGACTTTTTCTTTTTGCTTTTAAACCAGATATTCTTATCTGACAGTAGAATATGTTACAAAAGAAAGCACCGTATTTGAGAAGTTTGGATAATTAAATGGGTATTTATCAACATTTCTTAAACAAAAATGAAAAATATTTCTTTAACCAATGAGCAATATCTATGTAATAGAGTATACATTACAAGCCTTAATAACCTGTTATCTTTTCAGTACCAGAAGGAGCTCCTCAGAATCTGGTTGTGGTACCACTAACAACCATCTCTGTCAGAGTATCATGGCAGGTAGGTGTTAAAAGTTAAAATGCATTACTGAAATATGTTGACCTAGGAGCAGGAAAATAATTAATTTCTGTTGGTTCAAAAATTATCTTTTTCTTGTAAGTCTTGAATTAATATTTTGACATTTCATCAGCTTTAGAACAGCTATTAGCTAACACTACTAAAACTAATTTTCCAGCAACCTCCTGTTCAAACCTGGAATGGTGTCCTGCTGGGCTACATAATCCAGTACAAACAGGTGGACATGAACAGCTATGTGGAAGCACAGGTTGATTATCGCCAGTACAGTATGATTCTGGACCAGCTCACAAAAGACGTAAACTATGAGATCCGTGTTATAGCCTTTAACAGCAAGGGAAATGGTCCGCCAAGTACTCCTACTATTGTGTATGTAGGGGAGGCAGGTATGTATGGTTGTCACTATGAAAATGTCATTCTTTCGTTGTCTATAATTACATCCATCATCTCTGGATTAGCCCCAAAAAAGTAATTGTTTTTTAATAATATTTTAAGTATGTAATACATAAATAAATTTTTGAATAAAGGAGGTCAGAGTTGTCATCATTTTGGCCGCCTGTTTATAAACATGTGATAACATAAAAAATTATTGTGGATTCTCTTTCTAGCTCCGGCTGCAGCTCCTACCAACATTTTGATCCAAGCTGAAAACTCAACGGAATTAATGGTAATCTGGCAACCACCACCTCCTGACAAACAAAATGGGGACCTGTCTGGATACAAGGTAAGCCAACTCATAATATTATGAATAACAGTCTGTATTTTAATTATGTTTAAAAGTAGAGGACTAAGAATTTTTGCTGAGTGTGTATCTGAGAATTTAGTAAGAAAGCGAATGTTTCAATCAAGCATCGCCACTACCCTAATTATTTGGAGTTTGCAAAACAATAATAAAGTAATAAATGTACTAAATACTCAAAATTATGTTCCAAATGTTTGCGATATATCAAAACTATTTAAGGTTTTTTGTCTTTTCTATTGATGAAAGGAATGTTCAATATACATTAATTAGTATTAAGTATTTCAGTTCCTTTTTGATACATAATATATAAAATTTCTTTTTGTTTTGATTTTCAAAGAGAGTCACTATAGAGTTTATCTTACACAGATTCAGTACTGGAGAACCACAGATGGGCCATCCTCAAATGTACAGATCATCGTCCGAGAGAAACAAGCGCTACTTCAAGGACTCCAGATCTTCGCTAACTACTCTGTAACTGTACAAGCCTATAATCTGGCTGGAGAAGGACCCAGGAGTGATATCATCTACGGACGCACCCTGGAGGGATGTATGTATTAGAGCATCTGGAAATTGATTTGGTAGACATTTCATTGCTTAAATTGATGAAGTAATATCCACTTCATAGAGTTTAAGGTTGTAGAAAACTTGCATGTAGATTATGTTAAATCATATTCCATAATTGGTATTGTTGCCAAGGATACACTGAATGAAAGCAGCTTGGTCTCCATAAATGAAGTATTGATGTCTTTTCAAATGCTTTAGTTTGAAAATGCTGTGTGCAGTCTCAGTCCAATTATTGTGTCGCCTGCAGAACTGGCGGACACTTAGGGATCACTTTGTCCGTCGTCACTCGGCGGCGGCAGCAGCGGTGGCCGTACAAAAGTTTTCCAGACTTTTTTTATCTATTTATAGAAAGTTTTCATTTTAATTCCAGTCCCAGAGATTCCTGCTTACATCTTGTTCACAAACATTACCCTGACATCTCTGAATGTCTCTTGGTCACCGCCCACACAACCTAATGGTGTCATCATTGGCTACGAGTTGACATACTCCCTACAACATTCTAATGAAGGTAGGCAATAGTTTTATACACACCTATATCATCCAAACAGGAGTAGTGCTGGAAAGATCCACTCTCAGTAGTTTTGTCTGTGTCAGAATGTAAATGTAACTAGAGCTGGTGCATATGTCCAGGAAAAAAGAAGCAGTTAAAAATTGAAAAAGTAATGATGCAGATGAATGACTCACAAATGTGTTTGGGTGCCTAAGTGGGGTATTAAGGACCTCACATATCAATGATTTTAACATGCACAGTAGAGTTCTAATACAGAAATGCTAGTGTACCACTAAGGCTGAAAGCCATTAGCTGAATGCATATTAATATGTACAGCGTACAGAATTGAAATTTACTTTTTTTTATTTGACAGAGAGTCGACTTGTAAAGTTGACAGTGAGCGGCTCAAAGCATTATGTAATAATCGACAAAGTAGAAGAGAATGGTACCTACTTCTTCAGCGTTAAAGCAAGAACATCCATTGGGTTTGGGCCGGAACGTGTGGGCAAGGTTACCATGGGACCACAGCCTGGTATGTGTGATCTTTTAAGATGTTTCAGCTCTTGTTTTACGAAGTCGTATCATATTGTATGTCTGAAGTAAGGTTAACATAAACATTCACATGTACTTGATATTTGAATAATCTGGGCTTGGAACAATTCGATGGACATGATTTTTAGAGCTTGCTCTCAAGGATTATCACATTCTCTGATAAAAGTGATATATATCATCTGTACTTATGCAGTCATTTGAAATTTTTCTATCAATGATTGCCAATAGCGGATCTATAACTTAACCCCTTGACCTAAATTTCATGTTGATGCCCTTTCTCTCACATCAAGATATCTATTTAAGAAAACTGAATTAATTAAAATGATGGTTTGCCAATATTGAAAAAAGGACAAAGAAAGAAATACCGAACAACAGTGCACACGTCTTAAATGATTCTTTTCTATTTCAGGTTCACCAGGGCGTCCAAATAGACCATCTGTTGAGATGACTGGTGACGGCACTGTGTTGCTTAGTTGGTCGGGAGGTACACGTGGAGACTCCGATATTATGGGCTACCGTGTAGAGGCCAAAAGCACCAGTAAGTATTTAGTATGTTGTCATCATGCAACACACATACTGATCTAATATTTAGGTATAAAATTGGTTTATAAAAAATATGTTCATATGAAAATGTATGTGTTGTTTTTATGGAAATTTTGAAGGAGGAGAAACAATCAAAGTTCAGGAACTCCTTTAAAAGTGACATAAAGGTGAAGTTGTGTTCAACTCATTTTTTCAGAAATTAGGAATTCTATTACCTGAATTTTGTTTTAAGGTAAATTGTAGTTTGCACGACCAAAATTAGTACAGAAAAGAAAAGATTTGAAATCAATTTTCTGGTGGTGATAGTGGACCAATAATAAATCTTGTTTAATAAATTTCTTTTCCAGTCAGCATCTAAATTTGGTATATTTTTGACTCAAAATTTGTTTTTATATATTTAGTCAATCTAACAGTTTGTTTTTGTTTTTATTTTTAATGTTGGGCAAGGAGGTGGGATGAGGACTCAGTCATCACTTGAGTCAAAGTGGACAAAATTGCACAGAACTTAGATTTTATAAAACCCCTTTAATATTTTATTGTAATTTGTGATTGAATGACAAACCTATGTGCTGAATGAATATTTGTGATAGCAAGTTGGTAAATATCACAGTAACATTTCCTCAGATGGTGAAGTGCCCTTAAGAGTATTACATCTTATAATTGTCAGAGTGTGGGACATATAATTTAGAAATAGAGCTGTACTTTGATTGCTTGTACAAGTTTCACATTACACATCATAAAAGTAAGTTATATCTTTTGAGTGGGAAAGAATTTATTATGCCTCTCCAGTTGTCACTAATCACTTATCAGTGATTTCAATGTATGGTTGAAAGATGTTGATTTTTGAGCAATATGTCCATATTTGATAGAAAGCTCATTCATTTTTTTCTCTGTTAAGTACAAACGGCAATTATTGTAACTGCTATTTCATTATTGTGTAATAGTTCCACTCCTTACCCTTGTGTCAGCTGACTAGTCTTAATGCAGGATAAATGTAGTAACATTCACATGTTTAAAGTATAATGACATCAACATGTTTAAAATACTCTCTTCAAAATGTTGAAAATTGTGTTTTTATAGAAAGACAGTATTGGGAGACAGCACCAGTATACCAGACTACTACAAATGTCACAGAAGCTCGCTTTCCTTTCCCTACTGTGTGTTCTGATGATGGATGCCAGTTCAGAATCAGGGCTTTCAACTGGATTGGCATCAGTCATGCTAGTGTCCCCTCAGAGGTTATAGGTAAGCCTAATGCTACATGTACCAGACCCTTGGTCTAGTTTGTTTGTAACATACTGCCATCTCGTACACTTTGTATGTCAGTGCTGGTTCACTCCACACTTTTCATTTGTCAGATGAAGGTGACCTTGTAGTCATCGAAACATCACAATCAGATACTTTACTCGTTTTGTTTTGAGAACCTCTATTCTATTGACTGAAAAATGGACACAAGCGTGTATTTTTTTCCTGCGACATGTTCCTGCGAGGTAATAATAAACAAATATACCAAAACTATATACTCATGTTTCTCACCCTCTACTTCACCCCCTATATGGCACATCAGTAATAAAGCATTATGCTATGGCTGCTACCACTGAGGTTGGCAATCATAGCAAAAGCTTGGGGTAAGTAACAGTATATTACCTATTGTTTTCATTTAGATATATAACAATTTATAATATAGTTACTATATACATGTGATAGTATTTCTCTGGCTATTGACTTATTTTTACATAGACTGCATGGTGAATATTGAGCTGGCTAATTTTAAATGACTTCAATAGTGAAAGTATGATTAAATTAGTTACTGATGCAAAAATTGATATTAAAGTGAATTATGATCATGTGCAAATTCAGATATATTGCCATCACATTTCATTGCTTTTGAAAACCAGAATATACGCCTTGTAAAAAATAATAATTAAAAAACAATTCTGAGTGAACCAGGGTAATCTGGCATTCTGTTGTAAATGATGTATACATGTACTGGTATGGGTAGTTGATAAACCATCTATATTACAGCACCACTTGTCGTACAAAAGGCATTCCATTATGAGTGGTGGTTTGCTGTCATCATGGCCCTTTCTGGACTTATTGTCATCCTGCTGATCATTTCCTGTCTTTGTCTGGTTGCTCGCAGAGGAAAGAAAGGTGTGTAGCTTGGAACTGTATGTTTATAAAGAATTTCTTCAAAGTTTTGTCACCATTAAATGAGATGTCATTCAACAGATGTGAAAATTTGAACCTCTTTGAAAAAGTATTATATCTATAGTTTCATTAGAAATAAATTCTTTTCTGATTTTACTGATCTTATAAATGTTGTCCCCATTGAAGATGTTCACGATCAATTCACGATCAATTCCTGAGAGCACTTGTGAGAGCACTTTCGTTTTGTTGATGAGGTAGTGCATTTTGTTCTGGAGTTGTGTCCCTTAGATTACACTGTGACTTTGTTGTTCTCTTCACAGACAAGAAGAAACCTACTCCTACTGCTGCAGTGTCCACAACCAACCTAGAATCCCTGGACACTGAGGAAGGTGGCTTTGCTACCATGGAGATGAGACGGTCAAATCGTAGAAGTATGGGTGCCAGAAATGGCAATGCAAGAACTGCAGGAATATATGGAAGGTAATTAGTAGATTCATAATACCTATTTTATGATCCATATGAAGTTAAAAGTATTTCACTTCTACTCTTTATTTGAAAATTTGATGACAAATATCAATTATTAACACATGTGATGATTATTTTGAATGTTAGGGCCCCACCCAGACCAAGCCCTGCAAGTGTCACATACTCTGACTATGATGATGGAGCCACAGCCAAGAGTGCTTTACCAGATGATGATGATGATGATGGCAGTAGTATCACTGAAAAACCATCCAACTTTGGCGACTCTTCATCAGTAAGTGACTCTATCTTGGATACATTAGGCCATGTATCAAAGACATGGGTGTCCTATAGATTTTTAGATAGATAGTCAGGACTTTTATTTCAGCAGATCTAACATGATGAAGCACTGTCATATGTCGATGTGCAGTAGGGTCTTCTGGGTTTGTCCAGTCATTCTTAAAATTGCCACTACCTTTTTATCTTGAAAAACACATTCTGATCCAGGTGAAATTTTTCTTCTTTCACTCAGCTGGGAAACATTTCATATTGATGTGCTGAAGGTATGTTAAGTGAAAGTGAACAAAATCTCAGTTGATTAACACTCAAGACAAAGGTCAAAGTCAACTTTTATATAGCATAGGTAGTTTAATGATATGAAACATGAAGTTGATTTGAATTGATTTAAGGAGTCAATTATATAAAGGTCTCTCTTCCATTTTTGGTTACATCTGCCACACATTGTGCAGGTAACCCTCAGGTCAAGCTCAATATTAGATCAGACACATCTAGTATGTACTAGTGCTGGTATGTCAAATGTAACATTTGATTCCATATCTATAATTTAGTGATTCAAACAACATTGAATTAGTAAGTTGCGGTTGTATTTCTTGAATTATTTTGTTCTCTCATTGACAAAATATGTTCTTTAACATGAATTCACCTTTTATTACATACTTTCTCTTCTTAAATTATAGGATAATTACACTCTCATTGAAAAGTGGAAAAATGGCAGTAGGTTACTTTCTTGTCCCTGCTGATCTTGAAATATTTATTTGCAGCCAAGTGACGAAGAGAGCGATGACAGTGACAAATTACCTCCTCCTCCATCCTCTCCTCCACCCCCACCATTCACAGCCAATCCTTATGTGAATGACCTGGCACGACGGTCATGGCGACAGAACTCACAGGACCATAATCTACCCCAGACAAGTCACTATAACGCCTATACCTACACAGACAGTGAGGCGGAGAGTAGTCACTACGCCCTCAGTCTGACGGGCGGACAGATGATAATAAACAATGCTGCAGGCTCACGTGCTCCACTTCCAGGATTCTCCTCATTTGTATGATGTGGATTCACAGTGTGTGAATTTAATGTAAGACAATCTTAAGGATTTCCTGATCTCTCATATTAGAGTTTTGGGAAATCTTGATAGTGTATATTCGTCCACAAAACAAAGACTTCCAATCACTTTGTTTAGTATTTAACACACAACATGAGGTACAACATGGTATCTCGGTGTAAAGATTTACCAATTCCTGGAATTTCTTCCTTCAACATTATATATAGATATATAAAAATTTCAGGAACACTATAGCAACTTTACCGAGTGTCAGCCTATCGTATGTGTTCATTTAGATTTTGATGATGCATGCTTTTGTGAACTTTCGTGCCTTCATTATTGGTTTTCTAGGAACAAATCATGCAGGAAAAGCATAAATATATATTTTGTAAGTTTTTCTACAGAATATGACTACAATTGTGTGAACAATACCAAAAGTGTTGTCATATCATATTTTTATACTCTTACATTCTTGTCATGAACCATCATTTTAAATCAAATTATGCAAAGATTGTGTAAATGCGATAAGATAGAAGAGAAAAAAAGCATTTAAAGATTTTTCTTTCATGCTTAACTGAGCATAGCTCTGAATTGTGAATGTGATTACATACAAACTCAAATTCTTCATCACTCTCCCATGCCAAAGGCGACATGCCAAACAATCTCGGGGGGAGTAAACTCAACAGTTGTGTTTCAGAAGTGTGTCAAAGTGTGTCTGAATTATGTGCAAAATAAATGTACAGAATATTTCGAATCTAAATTACTGTGAGATGATGAAGATTGAACTGATCCTTATTGACACATGATATCGAGTGAGAATGTCGAATTGAATTGAAATTGAATTTCGACTGAGGATAATTGTTGATCTGCAGCTTTGTTCTAAAGTTGGACCGAAAAGATGTGTTATGGGCAATGTTTGAAATATTTGAATCAGTTAAATAATTATAAGCATATAAAGGAAATCCAGTCTTGGCAAACTGATTATTTTCATCAATTGTTGTGGAACAAAGATCTATATATATTTAAGAGGGATGCCTGTGTGCTGGATGTTTTCACCCATAGAGGGTTTCGGGCTACCGAAGATCATTGGAAGGAAGGGAAATGTACCTGGAAGTCAGTATTCTTAAAAAGTGACTACAGTCTGTGAAATGATTTTGGACAAACCTCTTTGTCATTATTTGTGGTCACTTGTGATCTCTGAATGTACTGAACTCTACAGTAATGTAGTGTAAAGTTACTGTCCTGCTCTGTACAGTGATGTTGTGCACTGAAAGATAATGTGATATCATATTCTGTGAATGATGCCATGCAGGGAAAATGATGACAACTCTGTGATGTCGTCCACTTTAAATGTAATGAGAGTGTGTAAAAATGTGTACAGAAAATTGTAAAATAGAATTATTCCCAGGTGGCCAAATTTTCTAAAACCTGTATGTTGTGTGTATGAAGGATGAGAGACTTAAATATATGGTAGTAGCTAGCTTGACAGTTAGTGCTAGGTCAAGTTCAACTGCAAATAGATATCTGTCCTCTTGTTATCTTTAACAAAATGATACAAGATAATTAATTCTTGGAATTTTAAAATATTTAATACTTGGTATGAAAATTTTTCATTGTAGTGAAATAAGTATAGTAATTGTAATATTAATTTTCTCAAGGTAGTTATTTTTCTCTTTTTTTTTTTTTTTTCTCTAATTTTTCAATTGCTAGGTACTTTAAGTCCACAAATTTATGTCCATGATAATCAGATAAAACTTGACAACGATTTAGTATTATCAGATTTTATGAGTAAGATTCATCCACGAAATCAAGTAACAACGAAAATGTTATTTTTGGAAAAATTTAAGCCCCACAAAATTATATGATTTGACAGTAATCTAATAAACAAAAGTATAAGAAAACATTTTAGAGACTAAGATGAACATTTTACTATAATAACACTTAGGGTTATTACAGTAAAACATCTATCTTACCCCAGGACTCCAGGTTTTACTGACGGGTACCACACACAGAATTTAATTGATCATTAGAAGTAATAGGCAGTAAATTTAACCACAGATAGAAAGGATTTATATTGCAGTCCTGGGGTCAAGTAGATGTTTTACTGGAATAGTCCTTATAACTAGGTGTAGAGTTACTATATTGACAGGAAGAATCAATTTTTGTTAACATGGGTTGATAATCTTGATTGTGTAAGCTTCGAGTATTGGACGAGGGCAGAGATTTCTCTGTCCTATCCTCAACGTAGGAAATTATCCTTTTTCTACCCTTTTTCCCCATTGTAAATGAATAAGCAAATTAATACACATCATAACCATCAGTATATTCATTTGCTTTTGAGGCATGGATGACAATTGTTAATGATGTCAATCACCCAAACTGACCCCAACATGTCATAAAACAAAATTTTATCAACAAATTACACGAAGCAGAACAGTCACTTCCTGTGCGTGCAGGTTGTCTTGCCAGGATAAGATAGAGATATCTTACACTCATCAGAAGTGTGGATATCTCTGTCTGGTGGGGTAGAATAATATATCTTTGTTCTCTGACGTGGAAAATATTGTTAATTACAATGCAATACACATATCATAAATGATATCACAACATTATAGATATAATACTATCTTCATGACATGAGTAAACTCGGAACGATTTCAACAAGGTGCAATAGATATTTTAATTCCATGTAATATCCTTATATATGTAGTCACATTAATTTGTTTTCACTGTGTATGAATTATCTGTGTTGTGATTTCTAAATACATACATATTTATATCTCTATAGATGATATTTGTAACCATTACAATATGTAATGATAAACATATCTGCTTAGTAATAAGCCCATGTCTGGTAATAAGCCCAGCTAATTTTTTGTACAGTAGAAATGTCATCAAATTCTATATCTCTGTTCTTCAGTATGCCTCATTTAATATAAGTTGTGTCTCTGGGTTGTGCATGATAGTGGAATAAGCATCTATCTAACACAAGATACCATAACTTTGTTAATTGGTTAAGAACACTCTTTTCTCACACATTTGACAATAAAAGATGGCATTTTATTGTTCATCTGTATGAGAAAATTTATATTAAAAATTTCAAAATTCTCAGGGATAGTGTATGACAATTCAGAACTTCATATAAAGTCTCCATATCAGTTACTACTCCCTTCTGTGGTTTTGGTCTCTTAAAGTTAATAGAACATTACTCAGGTAAAAAAAATCACTTATATATGTCATACCAGTAACCTTTGGTAATACTGAACTTATATGGTGGTTCTTCATCAGTATAACAGCTTTTCACTGGTGGAATAATTCATGTTTAGTGACAATCTTGAGCTAAATATCCATATAAAATAGAATGCATGCCCACATGAACTACATTTTCTCAGGAGAAACTCTCTACTCTCCCGCAAGGGGATGTTAATTTATCATCAGAATTGTACCTTGTATATGATAAGACACCTTATCTGGAATGTTTTATTTTGCTACAGATAGTAAACCTGTAAAGATAGTTACATTTCATTGACAGGAAAAGTTCGATTCAAGTGATAAATAAATTTTTTGATACAGTAAGTTTTCATTACAAAGTTTTTATGTTTTATTCACATTTTAAGCACCAGATTTTTAATTCTTATATTAATATTCTAACTTATAGATGTTTCATGTGAATATCATAAATATCATTAGTAAGATAATGTTACTGGATGAAATTGTCAAAGTTGTCTTTTGTCCTCTTCTAAAACTTTAAAGCTTTGAACTGATATTTCTGATTGAAGTAAAATTGTTAAACGTCTTGTATTCTATGTGTAAAACCTTCGGAGATTGAAAGCTTTTTAAAATTACAGTTTTTAAACTTACAAACATTCCGTATAAAACTTTGTTGTGAGGAGTTACTGGTGACTGAACTAAGAGAGGCTTATATTTTTATTGAATTCTGTTATTGATTCTTCTAGATAATTTTTTCAGATAAACTGTAATGGTTACTACTGTGCAGAAAAAATGTTGAACACAACTTTGAATTCATGTTTGATTTTGGGATGAAAAAAAGACTTAAAAATTCAAATTGAAATGTTACAAAACTTTCTTTATTGTTAATTTACCTTGAAAGTAATGATAATATCTAAATTTGAATATCTAGTACTAAATTTTGTTTTATTTAGTTTTGAATACAAAATATGATTAAGTGTAGAGAAGCATTATCTGTGCATTCTGGATATCAATTTAAACATTTCATGTTCTTTTCTGTATCAATTTGTTTTATTTATTATCATTTTTATCAGGTTATTACTGGAAAAATAATTTTATGTTATTGTGTCCATGTGTAACATCATGGTCTATTGTATAAATGGTTATTTGTAGATGTCTTGTCAAAGTACATCTCATCAAACATATCAATTCAATTTTTATTCCAAGAGTAAATAATTTTTCCAAAACAACTTGTTAACATGTATAAAGTATGTGTTTATTTGTCAATTTTGTACCATGTGCTTATTTCATCTGTTTTATGTACAGTTTTATCATTCCTGTAAATGTCTTATTATTTGTATCATAATATCTGAAGATTTCAGTAATACTGTTACATATTAAACTGAATATAACTTTACTTCAGCCTGCAGTGAATTATATTGGTTTATAATTGGGATTATATTGATAGCTGACCAAGACAGAGTTATTGCAAGGGTTGCTTTGGTGGTTTATGTTTTTGCCATTTGACTGAAAGTTTGCAACAAAGAGAACACTTTTGTATGGAAATAGAATGCAGTTTTCTCTATTCATAATATATCGTTTTTCCAATGCTTCTATATTCTCAAAAATTGTGAAAAATAGAGTCCATAAAAAATAACCTTCTACAGCATGTCTTGTTGGATAAAAATATAAAAGAAGAGCACCAACCTCTGAGGCCAGGTAGGCCATTAGTGTATGTTACTTTCCTCTACAGCTGTTATTGACCTACCTGGCCTCAGGAGGTGATGCTCTTCTTGTTTGTCTTTCAGTTGTCTACT